AGTTTTGGTAATGGCTCCCAGGACCAGACAACAGGAATGATCTCAAGCAACAGAGATGAAGGGAATCCCATCTGATAGTGACAACAAGGTCTGCAGCATGGTTTGCAGGTCCCCCAGAGGAAACAAAAAAGAGTTGTGAAGGTTTGTACGTCAGTCGCACGCTGGCGCTGAGTTCCTAGCCAGTACACCAGGAGCAGAATTGCCACACATGATTGCTTGCACCCTACCCCTTCCTGAAAGATAAATCCAAAGTTGTATTTTTCATGCTATAAATACTTCTAATTACTTCCAATTCACATGGACTCATCTGGCTGTATAAACTTCTCTGGCACGGGACACTTGCCGAGACTTTTGATCTAGCACTAGTTCCTTGTGCTAAGAATGCTGTAGCCTGCAACTATCTCCTTATCCAGGAAGCTGGGTTTGGGCTTCATAACAATAATGTCAACTAAAGCCTGGAAATCAGATCATCTCAGGAGGCATCACTGCCCCATTGGTTGGCTGGCGTGTGTTACCTTCACAAGAGAACCTGGCTTTGAAAGAAGAAAAGCTTATTCCTATGAAAAAGCATAGAAATTTGCAAAAATACACGAGGGGATCTGCTAGTCATTAGAAAAGTTCATAGTTTTTCTTTGGTTTTGCAGTAGCTGACTGGTAGATTTCTCAGAAACATTTACATTGGTCAGGAAATAATGTAAAAATGGAGAACACATGAGCTCGCAGTCATGGGACAGCCCTCCCACACTTTGCTTGGTCGCTGGTACGTAGGAATGAATGCAAACGGATGTGTGTGTGTTTAAACTTGTCTTTTCCACTTATGTCTAGTGAACCTGATGATGAAAAAAACCCCAATTTTATTATTTCATATTGGTGGCTGACTTGGTTAATTTCCTTTTGGTTGATATTTAATGATTTAAGATAGTTGTTAATATTATTTCATTATTACTAAGTAGTTAGAGTCTGGGCTCAATCTGGGCTTTTATTGTGTTAAATTTAAAGAAATAAAAAACATTGCAGTGTGGGAATTGAGGAAAAGGTAAATGTATGAGGCAGCATTATCAGTATGTGCTGTACCTTCTGCAGCAAGATTTCTGTCTCTTTCTGCTCATTTATGGTTTGTTCACCTTTTCATTTTCCCATGATGGTGTCATTATAAAGGGAAAACTGATTGCTGAAACTGAAGGATTTTAGCCTTTGATACAGAAGGATTACAGCCTGCAAACACAATAAAGGCTTCCTAGTCTTACTTTGAGACTTTTCATTGACTTTAGCAGTAGCAGGATCTGGCTCCAAACGCATTTGTACAATGTGTTCCCCACAGGAAATGTTCAATATTACATACAGCAAAGTTAAGAATTAGAATGTGCCCTTCTTTAAAAGGAAAATGGAATTTTCTTTGAAAACATGAACCAGACCCTAGCTGCGGTTTCACTGATGGGATGAGCTGCAATACAGGCTCCAGGCCTTAGAGCTGCGAAACATTGTCACCCCAAAGCCAGGTTTTTTCTCTAGCTCCTATTTCCAGATTTCTTCTCTTTTACATATATATATATATGTACACACACACATGTATATATTTATATTTATAGTTCTAGTTATATTTATATTTATAATTATTTAGTGTTTTACAGAGCCTCATTTGAAATGGGCACTAAATGAAGTCTAAAATCTAATGCTAGGGACTTTCTCTTGAATGCCGTATGGATTGTTTCTGTATCTTCATTGTTTTTCTTATTATTGGTATGATATTTGCTCCATACACACCTGACTGCTTTCTCCCTTTACGGAAAGTTTCCTTCAGTAAGCTGGAAATAATGAGTCACAGGTGAATTGATTTGAGAAAGTTAAGGAGAGCAGCTCTGTGGGTTTATCAGCCAGCCCCATGGAATGATGGTTTTGGCATGATGCCCTGGGTCTCGGAGGCTGGTGGGCTCTCAGCTGCAGTGATAGAAACTGAACAGCATCTTCTCCCTACAGCAGAAGGTATTTATTTCATGGTAGGAATCCCCAGAGGTCTTAACAATGTGTAATCTGGTGATATCTGAATGTGAGAGTGGCTCTTTGGTCTTTGGCAGAGGGCTGCTATGGGTGTGGACCATTTGATGCTCTATGTGCTGAGGAGGTGGTTGGCTGCGTGTACCGATTCTGCCTTTGTGTCTGGTTAGCCTGTTCCTGAGGTCAGGTGTGATTCCTGTAAACCATCCGAGCACCAGTGATTGCAGCATGTGAGTAAATAAAAAAGGTTATGCTTGCTGAAACTCCCTAAGCTCTATGCTGCTTATTTTTTTTCCATTTTTATTATTTTCACTTTATAAGTTCCGTGCATCTGGATTCTTGACGGAGAGGCTGCAGAGGCAGGTGTGAACACATTAGGGTAAGGGATGGCGTCCCTGTTTGGTGCCTCTCTGCCTTTGGGGTCATTTCCAGCTCACCCAGGACCATGCTGCTGGATGGCTCTATCTGGAATGGCATAAAACCGGACCAGGGTAGGGGATTCACACAGCTCTCTTTCCCCAGGTTTGTTCCCCATCTGTCCCTCCATGCACACTTCTTGCGCTGCTCATGGCCAAAAGCTTCACGTGATGACACACAAATATCTGCAGCCAAGACCTTATTCTTCACCCTTATGAACTCCCAAGTGCCCAAAGCCCTGTGAAGTTCATAAGAATTCAGTACCAAAACTGAATCTTCAGTTTTCTGCATAGTTTCTTGTCAATGAGATACAATGTTTCTCAAAATATGTGGCATACTTAATTTTTACTAGTTCTACGAAAAGCCTGATGGAGGCAGGCAGACTTTCTTCTCGTTATAAATAGCTAAAAGAGTCACTGACCGTTCAGCATAATTCACAAAAAACAGACCGCAAATTCTGCCTTTTCTCTATGGCCATAAGACATGTTCAGACACCTCTCTGCTGAACCAATGCAAGCAGCATACATGTAGTAGTTAGGGTTTTTTAATGATTCACATCTGTCTGAACCCTGAAATCATTGTTGGGTCATTATTCAGACCTTACTCAGGGGTAATCCCCATTGTATGGTGGTGCTTCTCTGGCAGCTGTTGCAACTTCTGGCTTTGATGTCTTTTCCTTTTGCTTTGAGCCAGCACTGTCCTATCAGTTGAAGTGACTCCTAGTGTTGGTGCTTCTTCCTTTTTCTTATGTTGAGGAATCAGTTTGAGCTAAAAGCTTAGAGATGTGACTTCCCAGAAAGACACTCTGCAATTCTTGCTTGTAGTTCAATGACTACGAACTACAGCAAGTGGGAGCAGACACGCAGGCACAGAATGCATTCTTGCTTTTCTTCTTTCTTACTTTCAGGTGTGGGAAAATGCTTTCCTACAACCTGCCTTGGTCACCACAGAAATAAGATGGTTTTGGTCCTCGAAGTGGATGTTTTTGATTCTGGAAGTGGGTGGAACAGGGTATTTCCACAGCTTTAAAGAAGTATCTTCCTCCTCCCCTTGCTGTCAAGTCCTCACTCCCCCGCTGCTCTTTCTGCGGAGCTTTTGGGAACTCTGAATAGCTTTTTTTGCTTTCTTTGCACAATTTCAGTAGCCTGGACGGTAAGCAGATATCTACAAGCAATTCTATAGGCTTTACTAGTCTGAAGCCTGATGGCCAAGAATGAGAGTAGGAAGTAGAAATCTATGTTACAGCTTTGTCAGATGTCCCCAGGCAGATCAGAATGTCTTTGTATCCTATTTCCATGTTTGAAATCAATGAAGATAAGACAGATCTATTCCACAAGTCTATTCCAAAGCTTTATTTACTTCAAAGCTTCAGGCAACAAACAACGCATAGAGGCAAATAATTTTTTTCTGCTTGTTTGCTCTTTGCTGGATTTTGGGATGAAAATTCCAAATTTGCCTGGTTCCTGGTCTTCCAAGCCTTTCTGACAGTAGGAAAGTTTTGTCCATAAACATATATGTGCATAATTGTACTAACAAGAGCTATTACTGTGATGACGGGCACAGCAGTGTGATAGCACAGCCAGTAGAAATCCCCTCCAACATTATAAACCACCATGGCAAAATTGTGCTGGGGTAGCTCCACTGCCCCGCTGGGCCCTACTGCCATGGTCTTGGGGTAAAAAAAAATAAAAATCACATCCCTTCCATAGCTGAGCTGATGAACTCCGAAGGGTAGAGCACAACTTAAGCAAGGACTATGGTATTCTTTCTGTTGTTGTGGCTCTGGGGATTTTGGGTGTGCAGAGGTGTGGTCCCTGATTGACAGGACATGGCTGGCAAAAGCCTCAAGCATAGACACAGTTGTACCAGCCAAACCTGTGGATTTTGGTTGTGAGGCAAGGTGGGGCTGAAATAGATTCCACTGGTGTAATCTCAGTTTTAGCAATACCCTCTGTATCCATATCAGAAAGGCTTCTGCAGTGCAGCTATTCCAGCCAAGCAGTTACAAGACAGAGATGGCTTTGCTTGGGCAGCTGCAGAAGGGAGCTTTTGGGTACACAAAACATTTTGTCAGAGTAATGTCTATTTTCTTTCTTTCTAATTTTCCTAGTCTGTTGCTGAAAGGCTGCTGTTGTAAGTCACAGCTGGGCAGGTAACCATCTGTTAATGAGTAATCCTTATGTCTGATATTGGCACTGATCTGGTCCATATTTTGCAATGTAATGTCATCTCCTGAGTGGGCTTGCTTGGAGCTCCTTGTTATTGCTATACCATGCTTTCAGTTAACTCCTGAAAGGAAAGAGATGGGGAACATCTGGATGGTAAATCATCTCTGATTGCAAGCAACATTGGATCAGCTAGTCTGGAGGTGCTTTTAAATGCTTGCTGAGTACACCAGCGATCGTCTCTGAGGGTGAGGCACTTTGTAAACTCTTCGCTCTCTGTGGTTTAGGGAGAGTATCTCTCTACATGGCATTCCCATCTACCCACAAAGACATTAATGATTAACAATGATAACAGCTCTGCTTACTTAGAAAACTAAAATACCCTAAAGTCAAGTAAATCGCAGTCCCTTGCGAAAGCTCATTGCTGATTCACCCTCCTGCTTCAGCCCAGCCCTGGAAGTTTCCCTCTGCCAGGCAAAACCTTCATGAGAGGAGAGCAAAGATGAAAGCCTGTGCTTCTTTCACTGTTGTCTTGGCTCTGACTCTGAGCAGTGACTGTGCAAGGATGGTAAGTCTGATTCTTCTATTTTGGAGTGGTGGATCACCTATGTGCTGACTGGCAGGACAAAGTTGCCTTGGTGTCGGATGAGTGAAGCCACCAACCAGACCGAAAGGAAGAGTGCTCCAAGTGAAAAACAAAACAGATTTGCCAAATGAAGGTTCACAGCAGCGCTGACTAAGCAGGGAGCCTGTAGGATAGCTGGTCCCATACATATCTGCATTTAAACAAATTGCTTACATCCATGCCTTGCTAGGAAGGAAGAATGCGAGGGGAAGAAGGACCAGAGAAATTGAAATGCTTTGAAAATACATCTCAGAAATGCGTTGACACAAGCAGGTACCTGCAGTAGCATGGAAGGAGGGTGCTACCCCACCAGACTTTACTGCTAGCTGGTAACTGAACATGCCAGCTTAGGTAATCATCTCCTTTTCAAACCTGTCCCTGTTTTCATGCCATGCTCTTCAGTGTTTTCATTGTCTGCTTTGTGTCTTTTTTTGGGTATGTATGCAGGGCACCTGCAGCACTGCTGAGTATGGCCGTGATGGTTTGACTTTGCTAGTTTGCTTAAATCTCACCACGGCCTGGCATCTACCAAGGATGAGCAACACAGTTAGTAGCCTGGACCCTCAGTTGTGTGGCTTTATGATTAGCCTTATTTCACTAGCTCGGTTAAAACTAGCTCAGATGTACTTAAACGATGTTACAATCCTAATTATCCCAGTGAAGTACAGAAGTATCTCCTTAGATATTGCAGGTGGGAGCAGAGAGGAATACTCATGGTGCCTAGGAAAAGATCAGCCCTGGCTGAAGCTGTTGCAGACTGCTCAGTGCTGGCAGACTCAGTGTACAGTGCAAAAACTCTTTCTTCTTCAGAACTCTTTAAGCCCTCCCTGTACGTCTTAGCAACAGCTTTGTCTTATCCCTTACTTGTTATGTCCCCTATCCAGTTCTACGTTCATGATGTGCTGCTTCTTTGACTGCTTTTGTGATATTTTTATTTTCCTATAGTTCAGTTGTCCGCACCTTTGGTGGCAGCAGCTCTTTATGTGTGTGACCATTTTTTATTGTTTCCTGGGGCTTAAAATCAGCTCAGCCTGGTGCTCTTTTCTTGCTGATCGGCGAACCCAAATAAAGTAGATGTTGCTTTCTTAACTAATGCCCTGGGGGTTACAGCTAAATGGCAGGAAAAGTCAAATGCTGAGATACTATTTCTAACTGTGAACTGGCTTCTGAACGCGTATAATGCTTCCTGCCACAGAAACAGGAGGTGTGTCCCTTGGCAATACACAGATATAATGGAGCAGAGATTTGGCCTTTTTTTGTGCTGTGCTGGGTTTTCCTGGTTTAACAGAGACCTTTCATGAGCCAATGTTTATCTACCCTCTTTCACTAGAGTGTGCCCCGGCAAAAATCACACACAAATAATGAGGTTTTTGCGGAAGCACCGGGAGAAACACAATTTCAGGACACCCTGGAAAGCACGTTTGTCTCTATAGTATGGTTCCCAGAGTGAATTTGTGTCTCCAATCCACATTCTTTTTTTCTCTTTGTAGCACTACAAATCTGGGGCAGGAAGAGGCTCAAAACATGAGTTCGCTCGCCCACAAGGTACAAAGTCAAATCCAATAGGTTTCATGACAGTAAGAATGATCTGCCTGTCTGTATCCATGCTGTGCAAGTCAGTAGTAAGCCTGTCTTTGTTTCAACATGAATAAGGATTGTGGAATGGTTATGCCAATATTAATTTCTGCATAGAGGGGAATTTGGGATTAGCTCAGGAATCTCAGGTAATTTTCCTTCAGGTGCGGATTAATGGGAAGGTGCTGATGGGATTTTAGATCGTCTGAACTGGCGTGGCTTATATTCACTCATAACATGGTGTGTCTGTAAATGTGCAACTCCCTTTGTTTTAATTAGAGCTGCATCTGCCCTGTGACTTTAAAGCACATAAATTCTTTGTATGTATAGGTTCAATTTCTACCACAGCCCTTGATCTCTCTGTGAGAGAAGGGTTTGAGCCTGATGCAATTTGCTGGGTTGCATTTGTTTTGATGGTACCTAAACAATCAGGCATCCTGGCTGTGTGCAGGCATTGTTGACTTCCATTTTTAAAGTTTTTCTTGTCCTGTGCTTTTGCTGTTAAGCATTAATTGAATTGGGCCATTAGTGGTGCCTTTATAGCTTAGAACAGTCTTTAATGGTCTTTGGGATGCAATATATCTTCTGAATGGGGATGTATATTCACAGCTCTCCTAACTGCTTATAATGGGAGATATCAGGCAGAGAAGGCAGATATCCGAACATTTGCTTAATTAGTTCAGACAATGAAAACCAGGCTTGAAAAGGGGATAGCAGAGGGGCTGGCAGTAGTTATTTCACACTGACAGATCAGGGGACAGTTAAGGTAGATGGAGTGACCATAATTCCACCTGATTAGGAAAGGTTTGGACCACAGCGATGGGTTATTTTTTCCATGATGCTAATAACTGGCCTTAACAGCCCTTTGAGAAGACGAGTCTGGGCTTGTGAAGGTTAACAGGTATCGCAAGAGTGTGCAGGACCCCCAGCCATCGCGGAAGGGATGCTCAGGACAAGGAACAGTCATACATCAGCAGTGAGAAATGGAAATGCGCTGTGCTGCCAACTTGGTTATATGCCCCATTCCTCTCCTACAGCAGTTGTTGGCTTCCCATTCACACTCCTGGGTCTCAAAACTGCTTGCTTTTAGTTTAATGGTTAAAGAAGCTCTGATGATTTTTCTTTGTCTTTTTTATCTTCAGTCTCCTTCATTCTCAAGACTCATCTTGAAGGATTTTTTCTGCTAGACTCCCACCACCCTTCCTTAGACTGCCATCACTGACACGGTGAACGTAAAACTTGCCCTTCTTAGACACTGGTCCCATCAATTTCTCCCCAGTTGTAGGGCATCTGCATATCCCAGAGGGAAGGTGTTATGATCCAAATTATCTGTCTTCCCCCAAACTTTAAAACCTTCTTTCTCCTAACTGTTTCTATTTCAGTTTGTACTGTCTGGTGCCTTAATTGTTTTAAACAGATGTTACAAGTAGCCTGAAAGGATGCTACTTCAGAAATCGATTTAATATGCTATTACTATACTACGTAATTAGAAATTATAATTGCAATTAATGAATATAATTGGCATTTGCTGTACCAGAAATTGCAATGTATTTTGAGCTGAAACGATCTGAGATCTTTATTCTAGCACAGAGCCCATTAACCTTTGTTGATTTTGTCATTACATTGGATTTTAAGCCTCTTCATATGCACTAGAAGTTGCAGAGACACAGAGTCCAAAGTACAGCTGAGAAAATTGAAGATGGTTGACAGCCAACTGAATATGAGCTGGCAGTGTGCCCAGATGGCCAAGAAGGCCAATGGCATCTTGGCTTGTATGAAAAACACTGTGGCCAGCAGGACCAGGGCAGTGATTGTCCCCCTGTACTCAACACTGGTGAGGATGCACCTCAAGTACTGTGTTCAGTTTTGAGCCCCTCACTACAAGACAAACCTAGAGGTGCTGGAGCGTGTCCAGAGAAGGGCAAGGAAGCTGGTGAAGGGTCTGGAGCACAAGTCTGATGGGGAGCGGCTGAGGGAAGTGGGGTTGTTTAGCCTGGAGAAAAGGAGGCTGAGGGGAGACATTACCGCTCTCTACAACTACCTGAAAGGAGGCTGTAGTCAGGTGGGGGCTGCCTTCTTCTCCCAAGTAACAAGAGATAGGATGAGAGGAAATGGCCTCAAGTTGCGCCAGGGGAGGTTTAGATTGGATACTGGGAAAAATTTCTTCACTGAAAGGGTTGTGAAGCATTGGAACAGGCTGCCCAGCGAAGCGATGGAGTCACCATTCCTAGAGGCATTTAAAAGACAGGTAGACATGGTGCTTAGGGACATGGTTTACTGGTGAACTTAGCAGTGCTAGGTTAATGGTTGGACTTGATGATCTTGAAAGTCTTTTCCAACCTGAATGATTCTATGATTCTATATTTATCTTCATAATTTCATATAGTAACATATAATATATATACCTGTGGGTTGGTGTTCAGCTGCATGATGAGTTTTTTTTATTCTTGTATTTTAGTGTTTACGGAGGATGGGAATTTATGCAGATTTCCTTTCCGGTATGGTGGAAGGTTTTATCACTCATGTTTATCAAATGAATTTTCCCGAAAGAAGTGGTAAGTTGACATTGCTCATAAATGAAGATGGCACTCAAATCAAAATGTCACCCTTCTAGTGCTTTAATCTTGTTTTTAGAATAAATCTGAGCTTGATGTCATGCCCAAGGAGACCCATGGAGTTCTCCTGCTTATAGGCATGGCCCTCAGGTCAAGACTCATGCTCAGACGGGAGGGAGCCCAGGCATGGGGTCTCAAGGGCCACAAAGCTCAAGAACTGCAGGAACGTTTCCTCCTTGGCCTCCATATTGGAATTGCAACTTACATGACTGGCAAGAGCTTGTACAGAAAGGGCAGGACCGATGAAACGACCTGATAGTAACCGTCTGCTGAGGGAGAAAGGAGAGATACAGACAGCTGTAACAGATGACACTCAGCTAAGGAATTGTTTGATTGGTGTGGGCCATACTTGTACTGCAACAGAGATCATCTGATTTTTGAGAAAAGTTGGATTTTTTCGCCTCATATCTCTAGTTCCTATGCCGATTGGCACCAGGCCCCTTTTGGACAGTGTAGTACTAAAGTGTGAGGTATTACTCCTGTTTGTTGGGTAATGATTTATTCTACTAGTGTGTTTAAGGCCAGGTGTCCTTATTTTGGGCAAAGGTTATTCTTCTACAGATGCAACAGTTGTTAAAAGTATTCATTTTTCATTTTAGGGTAGGGGCAGTCAGGTGGCAACCCTACTGAAGCAAGCACTGAATAAACAAGACTAACTTTGCAGACAAACCATATATTAACAGAAATCAAAGGCAACAAAGCAGGGAATATATAGGTACCAGTAATCTGAAAATACATGCACAGATGAGCTCTGTGTAATGCCCATACTTGCATGTTTCCAGAGCGGAAATAGTATTTTACAGGGTGTGTTCTACTCGCCCATGTGGGGCAGAACTCTCATTTTTTGTACTGGACTGTCGAATTTTTTGATGATCTGTGTCATCTTTCTGATGGCACATCTGTTCTAAGTGTAAGTGCTGGTGTAATGTAAACAGCACAACATATACCTTCTTACTCAAATAGACATAGAGCTTCAGGTTAGGAGACCACTTCTGAATCTCCCCAACATCCATAGATACAATCCAGATAAGAAAAGCCTCCAGGAAACAAGAATTTAAGAATATCTTAACTAAAGGAAGGGAACTGGAATAATTTTCCAGTTTGAACCCTGTCTTTGATGAACTGTAGTCACAAAGAGTTTGACCTTTGGACCCACTTAATTTCGTGCAATGCTTAAGATGGATCTTGTTAATACATGACACTGTGTATTTGCTTTTAGCTACTTAGGCCACAGAAATGGAAAAAAAAAAATCCAAAACAGGAGAAACCGATGAATGGATAGGATCCAAGGTTAGAGCACACTTTAGAGCTGACCTTGGACAACTTGCTCTCATGCTTCTGATTTTTTAAAAGCCATTTACAAGCGGAGAGATGAGGAGGAGGACAGCTGGAGCTGTTTGGTTTTGACAGGCCATTTCACCCAATGGCTGACCTTCTGGCCAGTGTTTACTCTTCTTTCATATGCTAAAAGCAACCTAAGGTATGACTTCAGGCACAGAGATGCCAGGAAAAGAGCCCCGAATAGCAGTCGGGAAACTTTCTCCGTGCATTTTGGTGTGACTTGGCAGTAGCCCATGCTGGAGTGATGCTGAATAAGTGATCCCAGGGCACCTGGCAGGCAGCAGGCGAGGGCAAGACTTGTGTCCTTCCTGCTCCTACCTGCCTGCAAGCTGCCAGTAAGGATGGAGATGATGGGAGGCTGGATGCAACCTGCCTCTTTGGGGGCAAATGTAAGGAGACCAGACCAGGGGAGTGATGGCTTGTGCACTTAATGAGTCCACATCCTTAGTCCTCAAGTCATACTTTAAGGCAGGACTACAGGCAGGACTTCATAGTGTAAGCCAAAGCCTGCTCCAATTGACTTTATTTTATGTTTTCTCATACTACGTATGACATAGATATTGTGTGTATCCCATCTTATTAAGTTCAATAAAAAGGCAGTCCTCCTATAGAAAGCATTTAAGAGCAGTGTCCATCTTAATACAAAGCTGGATATCTCATTTATGAAAGTTGCTGTGTTGATTTAAAGGGCTGTGGAAGGCAATCAGATATGACCTTGTCAATTTGTAACATTAAATGTTTCAACACAAATCAGATTCCTGACCGCAGAGACCTCTTCCTGCTTTCTCTGAAAGCAACAAACAAGTTGTATCTTTGTAAATATTTATCAAAAATACAGGAAAGAAGACAAAATAATTGCAGTATTCAAATAGCTAACTTCCTTTAACAGCACCCTGCATTGCACTTCCCTTTAATTACAATCTGTTTTCACAGATAAATTTCTGTTTAGTGGCCTCTTATCAGGTACTAAAGATGTCATGTAAATTTGCCTTTTGTGTTGAAGAGAAAAAATTAACTGGCACTGTTGCTAAAGTTCCTTAGTACCTCCAGAAAGACAGAACAGTGTAGGGACAGACAAAATGGGGATGAATGAGAGCAAATAGGGAGGGCGGTCTGAATTACAGCCAAGCCGTGGCTGCAGGGATGCTGCCAGCACCCTGCCCCTGTGTCCCATAGTGGGATGCATTCCCCCCGAGATCCTGCTCAAGGGGAATGGCAGGAGCAGACTTTGGCTCAGATTTTGGCTGTGAATTGGAAGGTGTTGACTCATAGCCTGGAGTAGCCTTATCCTGCTTGAATACTGGATGTGCAGGTCCCCATTGTGCGAGGTTGCAAGGGTGGGCTTAGGTCTGTATAGGAGAAGCATGATGTTACCATCGTCTCTGGAAACAGGAAAATTTTATACTTTGGCCACAGACTGAAAACAATGAGAAGGAGGGCTTTTTGGCCAGCTGGATTACAAGCTAGAGAGTTTATGCCAGTCCTGGAAAGGAGGAGGATATGCAGGCTGAGCCAGGAGATACCAAGCATCAGACTCTGGATTTTTCTGGTGCTGATGGTGGTTGCTCTGGTGTTGTCGGGTAAAGTCTGGCCCTCTCTCGTGGTCAGGACAACACCTTAAAAGGTCTGAAGGAACCTCCATTCCTCCAACACAGTGACAGCACCAGGTGTGATGGTGGAGCTCTTTCCTTCCACCAGTCTGCCTCTGGCCCGAAGTTTTGCATGTTCTCCAAAGTGTCCTATTATTAAGGCTCCCAATGCTCATGATGGGTAAAATAGCCAGCTTTCCATATATCATGCCTGCCAGTTAGGCCTCATCTGTGATACAGCATTTTGTCCATCCATTCCCGTGCTGTTTACCATGCATGGGTTTAAAATGTTGTTTAAATCAATCCCTAGTAGTGGGCTGCATCACAAGCAGCGTAACCAACAGGTCGAGGGAGGGAATTCTCCCCCTCTACTCTGCTCTGGTGAGACCCCCCCCTGCAGTACTGCCTTCACCTCTGGGGCCCCCAACACCAGAAGGACATGGACCTGTTGGATCAAGTCCAGAGGAAGCCATGAAGATGATTTGAGGGCTGGAGCACCTCTCCTGTGAAGACAGGCTGAGAGAGTTGGGGTTGTTCAGCCTGCAGAAGAGAAGGTTCTGGGGAGACTTTAGAGGAGTCTTCCAGTATCTAAAAGGGGCCTACAAGAAAGCTGGAGAGGGACTTTTACAAGGGCACGTAATGATAGGACAAGGGGCAATGGCTTTAAACCAGAAGAGGGAAGGTTTAGATTAGATATAGGGAAGAAATTCTTCACCATGAGGGTGGTGAGGCACTGGAACAGGTTGCCCAGAGAAGTTGTGGAGGCCCCCTCCCTGGAAGTGTTCAAAGCCAGGCTGGATACAGCTTTGAGCAACCTGGTCTAGTGGAACGTGTCCCTGCCCATGGCAGGGGGGTTAGAAATAGATGGTCTTTAAGGTCCCTTCCAACCAAACCACTCTATGATGATGATTCTATGATGACTTTTCTGGTGTAATTAATTCAGTATCTGTGTCTTTAAGTTTCCGCTTTTTTATTAACAGTTTTATGTGACAGGCTGATGTAAAGACATTTGTTATTTCATAAATTTAGAGTGGGCCCATTTACAAGTAGCACAAATAAATAATAAGCCTGTTTGGTTGGTCTGGATGCTGGAGGTAATGTCCCATGAGACTGAAATGTCCACCACATTTTTGGTAAGCCTCCCAGCAAAGAAGAGGTTTTAAAAAGAAAAGGAGGGAGAGTAGTGAAGCAGCTTTGAGAATGTGCTGAGTTTTTCCCAGACATTGAGATACATGGTGGAAAATATAAAAGGATTATGTGAATGTGCAAGAAGTCTGGCACTGAGGAGGCAGCCCAGCATCACAAGGGAGGACCAACCTCTTTGTAGTCACTGCAAGGTGCTAGGGAAGGAGGGGAATGGTTGAGCACTGGTTGGGAGGACTAGTGGGTTGTGGAAGGCTGTTGGAAGAAGCCTCTGTCAGGATCTCTGATATCAAAAAACATTTAAGAGGGAAAAAAATTGAGTTCTCCTTTTGCTTAGAACTTAGTTGCTGCTGGACAGACTCCAGAGAGTATTAATTTGCATGGTTGTTTTTCCCCTAATGATCAGAGTTTGCTTGCATTCTTTAGGTGTATACAGGGCCTTTTCCATTTGCTTCTTCTATGCTGTCCAGTGTAACATCACTCTGCTAAATCAACAATTATGTCAGTCAGAAAAGTTTGGATTCTCCTTTCCCGTCATGGCTGGCACAGATGAAGTGTTCAGTCAGAGACAGTTTTGCCAACAATGACATAAGCAGTGCCGAGAACCACTTTTTTCACTTACTCCTCACCTTAATCCTCATGCATAACAGACCGTCCTTTAAAAAAGCACAAAGGAGCACAGAGACATTTCCATCCACTCCCAGCAGAGTCACACGGGCCTTAATGCCTGTGAGAAAACAGCCTCTTTAAATATGTGTCAAGTTAATCTGCACTAGACTACCAAGCACCTTTCTTTTTCTGCACCTTATGTAATTGAGGTCAACGAACTTAATGTTTGTGGCCTATTCAGACGCTCCATAGGAATTAAAGCATTTTAAATACCACGTAACGTCTAATTAAGAAGCAAAGTAGGGCAGTTGAAATGGTAGACATGCTCTACAATAAAATTTCAATCTAGATTGTGACATCCTAGGGGGAAAAATATTTGATAACACAGCTGTTCAAGGTATGATAAAAACACATAAAAATAGATTATCAGGCATGTTAAATAAAGCAAACTCCCATTTCTTCCAATGCCATGTAGCTGATATTTATTATGCTGCATTAGAACTGGTTTGGGAGGATGTTTTGGTGGACGGTACATTGGGACAGGACATGGACCTCCAAAGTTCAGCCTTGGTTCAATCACATACTCACTGTGTGGCCTTGGGGAACCCTGTAAGTCTACTTCTGCAAACGGAGCATAGCAGCTTAATGCTCCTTGGAGTGTTATGAGCCTTGGAGATAACAGACCGATGAGGGCAAGGAAAGTGCATGGATAAACAGTTGTCAAAGTTTGTCTCGGTAGGATTCCCACGGGCAGCATGGCGTGTAGAATTCAGCCTGCTGCTCTGCAAAAAGGAGAGGTTTCGTCTGTGCGTTTGGAAATCACCACTGTGTCAGTTATTTCCTCATTTCGTCTAGCAAGTTAAAAAATAGAAATACTTTAAAGGAACTGAGTGCAAAATAGGTTTGTTGCTGAAAGCCAGGGAAAAGTCCCTCTGTGCACAATTTCCTGCCTCCAGAGATTATTAAAGTAACTGACAGGCATCAAAAATAGGTTGGGTCCTGTTTTACTTGTTTTGTAATGAATAAAGGAGATGTAATTTATTTGTTTTGGTTTTGGTTTTTATTTCTGTCTTTTGTTTTCTAATCTTAGAAATAGAAAGGAGGTTAGGTTTTTCTGGAAGATTTGTTGGAGATCTCAGATCCTGCTTCCACATCTCATTCTTAATCTGAACTTATTTTGAAAGAAATGAGGCAGAGCATCTTTCACAAAAGAAAGTGTATTTTTCCTCTGGTGTTAAGAGAGTTTGAATGAAACAGATGCTAATTAGAAAAAAAAGCATGAATTTCCAGGTTGCCAAAGTGTACAGGCCATACAATTTCAGTGCAAACATCCAGGTTGTTTAAAACCGCATTAAAGTGCACCTTTAATTCTTTTCAGGTGTTCAACAACACATAACCATGACCGGGACAGGAGATGGGGACACTGCATTTTGTTGCCCAAAGACCACTCAGGTAAGGCAAGCCATTGCTGAGTTGCTCTGGATACCTGGTTCCTTCTTTGCCACCTGCAGTAAGGAGGGACGGTGCCTTCAGTACTACTTTTATTTGGCGTACACAGAGCAATCCTTCACATTAACAGTTTCCGGGATGTCTCTGTGACTCTGCATAAACATAGCATTAGATTGTGAATATCACACAGTCTTTAATTCACTCTCTGTTGACTAACTTCAAGTCATGGAGAGAAATTATGGTAATGCCAACATGGATATCTGCACTCCTGCTGGAGCCAAGCACAGAGGTGATCGTCTTCTCCTCCCTCACGGCTTGGATGTGCCTTTTAGTTTTCCCTTCATTTAGTCAGCTACGTTTTCTGTCTGTTTGACCAATTAATTTTTTAAAAGGTACAGGAACATTTTACACCCTGTACAACACACAGCCATCACTTCCAGCTGTCCTTCCTTGAGATCTCAGGATAAAGAGCGGACCTTCAAAACCAGACTCCCTTGGGCTTTGGGCTGTGTCAGAGAAGATATGAGGACAGATGCATTCATTGCAGAAGTTCTGAGGGACAACAAAAGGGTTACTTAGCTGAGCAGTGCTATGGCTTCATGGGGTCACCACACTCCAGTGCTACAATTACCTCATTGCGAAGGTCTGTCTAAAATGGGAAGCTGAGGTCTCTGGCAAACTCTCCTTTCTATATAAGTCACTTTGATAACACTGGGTGAAAGCACCATGTCCCAAGCAGTTCAGTGGGGAACATGCATCCCTGTCCTCAGCAGTATCTCAATGTCCGACCCTTGCTTGTCTCTGTCTTCCCAGTTCTGTGTTTCGTGAGCTGGATGCTGGGGAATCTCATTTTATAAGGAATGTATACATCTAATTCTCAATTTATACACCAACAGACCAGCACTGAAAAATCAAGTGTTGCACTGATCAGACTTGACGCCCCTGAGGTTTTTTTTGGGTCTGTGTCTAAATGCTGATCATGTTCCTCTTTTCTCCATCTCTTTTCACATACTTTCAAATGTGACTTGTCTTGTTTAGTCTGCCAGATACGACCAGATGCCCTTAGATGTTCACTTTCCACTTTCAAACGAAGGGCACTGTCCACCATCCCCTTGCAGGGAGTTTTCCGCCATGTCAGGAGTCTCATCACCGAGATGACTGCAATCTACCAGAGCTCTTGAAATACCAACGTTAGCTGAATCATGCTGACAATCTAAAATTAAGCAGTGCACACCATCATAATTTTAAACTTAACAACTTTAAATTATTTTCCAGCCTGACTTTAAAACAGATTAACAGTAGATCAGAGACAAATGATCTAACCCCAAAACAAGCAGCAATGTATGAGCCTTTGTAATGCAAGTATGTCAGACACAAATGTAGACCTTATAGACAGTTCATGCTTACAAGAGTCAGGTTATGAAGGCTGCACTTACTTAGTCATGAGTGCCCTCCCAGAGCTTGAAATGTTGGAAGCTCTAACTTGTGACTTTAATCCTCCAAGTGAAACACTGGCAGTCACGGGGGAGGCTGGCTGACTCAAGGAAGCTTTTCCAGTAGCTGAGGGTGGAACTCTCTAAGCCTGGTGTTGCATTTCTGAGGTGGCTTGTCCCATGTCTGCTCCTCAATCTGCCCATCACCATCTCTGCCATCGCCATCTCCACAGCCAGCTGCCTGCCTGCAAGCCTTTTTGAGCTTGCTGGCTCATTTTTGTCTATTACCCACCACAGATTTGGATAGGTTGGTTTGCAACAAGAAAGCCACCCTGTCTGCCTGCCCCTCGCTGAGAGATGTCTTTGTCAATATACCTTAATGCCAGTGAGGATTTGCCCTGGCTACTGTTTTTTTCTCCAGCAAAAAAAAAAAAAGAAAAAGTTATATGTGTGAGAGAGGAAAGGAAAAAGAAAAAAAGATGGGGTAGCTGGAAGAGATCACTGCTGGCTGTTGCAAAGAAAAGACTTTATTTCTGGAAGCATTAAGAATTTTCTAAAATTAAATGAATGTTCTTTAGCTATTAATTTATTTATAAGCATAAGTCTACTTATTTTTTTAAGCAACAAGCACTGTATTTGGACTTTGAAAATGTTTAACAGATCACCGGCCATAGCTTAAAGAGAAAAGGTTTATGGTGAGGTTGAAGGAAGGAACGGCGTAACAGTTGCAGGGAATTTCAAGCAAATGGGAAGAAAGTTCGCCTCCTGGGGAGGATAACTGGGAAGAAAGAAGCAGTCAAACTGAATAATGCTGATCTTTAAAATGTGGAAAATATATGATTTTGTTGTGAAATAAATCCAGTAAAATATTAAATCTTTGGGGGAATCTTAACCACTTTAGAGACGCTTGAAAAACAAGAAAAAAAGAAATTTCCGGGGAAGAGAGTGTCCTTTGGCCATGAGAGATTGGTGAGGAGTGTGTGAACTGGGATGGGGAAGGAGCTACTTAAAAGCAAAAGCTGAAGCACAAACTCTCTCCAGGCCAAGAATACCATGTGTATGTGGGGAGTCAGCTTGAAACCATTGGAGCTGCTTACAAATCAATGTTAAACAAGCGTTGGAGGCATTGATCCAGAAAAACACATCTGCCAAATTCAAGAGAAAGTTTAACCAAAAAGCCTTCAGCTTCAGGATGAAGCGAAGCTCAGGTGTGAAGGCACTGATGGAGGGAGACGTTAGTACTGCACTGTGCAGAGTCAGAGCTTGCTGTATCAACACCCAAAGCCCCTGTTCAAACCTCCATAAAATCAGTGAGAGCTTTATTGCTGCCTTCAGGGGGTTAGGTTTCCAGATGATCCTCCACTCCTATCAAGGAGATACTTGTGGAGACTCTGCATAGTAGCTGCCCAATGTGAGCCCCTTCATATGCGTGGGCTGACTGGGCTGTGCATGTGTAGCTTGTATATATGTACATATAAGCACAAATGTGCAATGCCCCCATGTGTGGGACTTCCAGATCTTGGGCAGTCTGTTAGGACTACTGCTGTGAATGTCTGGAATTCTTGAAGAAATGGCCAAAATCCCAGGGAGACCCAGACTTGGGAGAAAAGTGCCAGACAGTGAGGTTTTTTTAAGAGGTGTTTGGACTAAAATGGAAAGAAGAAGTAGAGTGGTGTGGGCTGCATGTGCTGGAGGAAGAGACATCACCCCAGGAGAGGTTCTGGGGAAGCGCGGTCCTGGTTCTGGGAAAGGTCGGTGGCAGAAACAGAAAATTTTTTGTGGGAAGATATGGGTAGAAAAATGAGACAAGCCTACTGCTTGTTCAGCAAAGCTTCAGAGAGGTGAAGCTGAAGTCAAGGTTATTGCTAGCAAGCATGGAGTGTTTCACCCATGAGGTGAGAAGATACTGCTGAGTGGTTTTAGACATTGGCTGAGAAGGCAGGGGCTTGGCACTCCCCCGTCAATGAGTAGTTAATGGTGGGCAGGATTCCCTGCAAGGAACTGTGATGTGTCCATGCGCTTACGAGTAGAAGTTGTTCCTGGACTTCAGGAAAGGTGGGGACGGATGCAGAACTGACGGAGGTCAGACTGAAGTGGTGGGTGGGATGTAGTGAGAGTCTCTGACTGGGAAAGAAATGGAGGACTGGAAGTGCTTTTTGCAGATTTAATGAGGGTACAAAAAATGACTTGAGCACCGCTGTACCAGAAGATGGCTTGGAGGTCAAGTCATGGTTTGGATGTGACAGGTATAGGAAATACAGGGTTATCCTTTGAGGAAACATTACACCACTAAAAGTTTCATAACTATCCAACAGCAGGAACTGTAGGAATGTCACTGCTTTTACTTCCTTTCCCTTGATGTTATCCTGCAGTGAAACTACCAGTGAATACACCAAGACCTGCTATCTGTTATCAATTACACCACTGTCTTCTGAAGTAAATATTTTGGTTTGTGCAGGGGAACCTCACATTTACACCACTGCAGCAAACTTCAGGATGTGCTTTTCATACTTCGCTTCAGCCCTGTGTATGTGTGTCTGTGTTTCTATATGTTGCATCCCATGCTTTGCACCGCACTCTCTAGCTGAAGGAACACTTGAATCGAGTAACTCTACAGTTGCCCTCGCAGAATTTGACTAGCATTAAAAAAGAATATTCAAATGCAGATAAGCTGTTGGACCAGCCCTGCAGCAGACGTAAAACATGATGTTGGTTAACTTCAGGGGGGTTATATCCCTGAGATATCTGCCTGAAATCAGGAACGTTGCCTAGTGAGCAAGACTCTTACAACTTCTGCGTTTCACTTTGCCAAGTAAAGCTTCTATAGCAGGAGTTAGAGGGCTGTCTGGCAGAACCCTTCCTCTCCCACCATATTTTCCCATAACTTAGAGAATTCTTTAGAAAACAGAGATATACTAGACTGGTCCAGTTTAATCTTGCTTGGCCTGATTTACTTGGTTGTGCCTTTGTTTTGCTTTAAAACTTTTTTTCCTTTGTTCCAGCTGTCCGTTCGTTTTAGACATAATCCAAAAATCCATAGCAAATTCTTCTGTCGAGGGTTGTCCTTTGTGTAATACAAAAGAGAGATGCGTAACCCCGGTCACCGATGCTGAAATGCGAAGCGTGCAGGGCGGTGACCCGGGCAGAGGCAGAGCCGGAGCCTTCCCTCCCCAGTGCAAAGGCACAGCTCCATCTTGTGGGCATTTCTCCCATCTTCTTCCTCACCACCCCGGCAGCTCTGGCAACTTCGTGTGCGCCTGGACCTACCACCTTCAGACAAGTTATTCTGGGGAAGAAGGTTCAGCTCAGTGATTTACTATAAGGTTTTTAAAAGCTGGATAAATATAGCTGCTCTACAGCTGGGAACAAAACCAATGTAAATTGGTTGGATAAACTTTGGTTTAGGTTAATACATGGTATTAAAATCGCTGTGCATTGAACCAAAATGGTTCATGTAACCAAGCCGACGCCTAACACAACAAAACACGGCTTATCTGGCACCTATTAACAACAGCTTCTAATGTGGCCTGTCTAGATCCCTGTGCAAACAACCCTTGCCAAAACGGAGGGACCTGTTCTCACGCTCATGGCGATAGCACGTACCACTGTACCTGTCCAGAGGAATTCACGGGCGAGGACTGTCAGATGAGTAAGTATCTTCTTCCATGAGTGTTACAACATGAAATACGAGCAGTAAGTAGAGCTCATTAATGTTTGCCTAATGAAAAGGTAGTGCTGTTGTGATGGGAGAGACCACTGCAGCATGAATGCTTGTGTAGGTGGATTTCCAAATGGTTATGACAGACAAGCCATTACTGACAGGACAGCTGAAAATAGCTTAATTATACAATTATAAATCCAAGCATGCTCTGAGCCAATGAGGTATTAAGCTATGGGAAACAAAAAGAACGTCTTCCCCTCCCTTTGCTGTTTTTAAGATTTAAATATCCCTTACATGTTTGGAAATTACTAATAATATCATCTTGTAGGTAGGGCAGAGAGACATGAAAAAGCAACAAAATTTCAGGTGACACCTTATCCCTTATGTATATGCACACATGGGTCTATTGTGACTTTTCCTGTGATGTCAGCTTTGCACCTGGGCAGCTACTCCACCTCCTTTCATCCACTAGGAGGAAAGTCAGGCCAAAAGGCTTTGCTTGGGTTATTTTTCCACTTTCATTATGGTGTGACTCCCAATTTACTGCACAGCAGGCAAGGAATTAGGCTTTTACACAGGGTTTTCAGTTGTGCTTACTGTTGCTTAATGAAGGCTTTTCATAGAATCATTTAGGTTGCAAAGACTCTTAAGATCATTGAGTCCGACCATTAACCTAACACTACCAAGTCCACCACTAACCCGTGTTCCCTGTGGCTCTGGACTTCTCTCCCAAGATTAAGCAAAGAAGCCTTTTTCAGTCCTGCTGCTCCACTGTCTCTAGCACAGCCCATCATCTGTGGATGATGCAATGAAGTGGGACAGACACAAATATATACCACTGATTTGGTTTTTTTTTGTTTGCTGAATGAACTTTTGGAATGGCTTAAGTAATGGTGATGCTGTCATGCTCATAGGGTTTTAGGAGAAAGCCACCTCTGCCTTGAGGTCCTTGGAGGTGCTGCTATAGTGGCTTAGTGCCTCCACACCATGGAGGCAGGCTTGCTTGAGAAGGACTGTAAACAAATGTGTATCTGCCCAACAGGAAAAAAGGGATGAGCAGGGGATGACGGGGACTGTGGTGCCATTCCTTGTAAGAAATAACCTCAGAAAGCTTGTGTTGCTTTTTAAACTGTGTTTCAGAGAAGTGTTTTGACAACAGCCTCTACGAGTTCTTTGATGTGGGCATGAGCTGGTCAAGAGTCCAACAAGGAGCTGTGGAGCAGTGCATGTGTGTGAACGGCCAGATCGAGTGTGGGAGTATCGAACACACAAGTAAGGCACTATTTTGTATTACAGCTATTGGCCTGCAGGGAGTGGGGATAAAGGACAGTGAGGATATCAAAGCCTGAGTGGTGTTATACATAGTAATGCTGCTCTTGCAGCTCATGTACCTTCCCCAAAAGAGAACATTCTAGCTTTGCTTTCCATGTGTGAGCAGTAATGGTGACCCAGGAAGTCACTTCAATGTGTCCATCCTTATTTGAGGAAGAAATTATATGCATTAAGCTGAATTTTAGGGACATACCTCAGTGTTTTCTTTGAAAGGGATGCAATCCTGCAGCATGTAAGAATATGCAGCATATTACATAGTAGAAGTGGTAAAATTTCTCCTCCAAAACTGTAACATGCCTGAGAGGCACACCTTCCTCTACTCTTCCCCTGCACACCTACAATTGTTTCATATTGCTGTTTCACCTCTGGATTTTCTTCCCAAGCCTGTCCCACTCTTGAGTTCCCAGCATGTAAAGTCTACCTGCCTCCAGGATCCCATCTGCCCTGTATCGACCCCAGAGTCCCCATGATTTTTGGCCCAACATACCCATCCCTGACTAGGATGAGGCTTATGTTATGAAGCCTCCTCCTTGTTTTGGGGCTGCCAGGTGCCCAGCACAGCTGGCCAGCTAGCTGCAGGGCATGCTTTTGGGGTTGTCACTTATCTGATGAAGCCAGCACAGCACCTCCCTTTTGGAAGGAGATATGGTAGGAAGCAAACCATATCCGTCACTTGTATATGTGCTCTGGTATGGCTATTCTGTTATTCAGTCTGGCTGACTTTTACCCTGTCCAGACTCCCAAGTAACTTACAGTAGTGAATAAGCTTCATAAAAGCCCTTAGAAATAGGTAGGTGCTTTTATTCCCACCTTACAGAACTGGAAACTAAAGCATGGAAAGTCAGTGGCATTCTAGGACATTGGGAGTCCACGAGAGAGTTCAGAAATTTGATAGGACTTAATACTTCTCAGTCACAGATCCTAAATATTTAACTGAGCTCCCTGCTATATACATTATTATAAATTTTAATGCAGCTCAGCGGCAAACTTAGAATTGGCAGAACCCTCTGTACAAAAAGAAGTGCTAATGCCATCACCATCACCACTAGTAATAATAATCACCACCCCCATTTTACCTATTGTTCATTGATAATATTTTTCAATAGCTAGGTTGACATTATCCCATAAAAGTGAAAACAATGAGACAGACCTCAGTGGGCAGAAATCAGCAGAGTTTCCTTTAATTTATATCAAGTGTAGGTCTGAGATGAATAAAAAAGGAAAAACTTCCCCAAAATGCATATACACGGAGAAGGTGTACTAAAGTAAGTTAAAATGGATTCATTCTCTTGAATAGTTTGTACCTTTGGTTTGATCTTTGGTTTCTGCTTGTAGGTTGTGTTCATGATCCTTGCATGAATGGTGGAGAATGTAAAATGGTTACCTTCAGTGGGAAAATAGTGTGTGATTGCAAAGGAAATTATGCAGGAAAGTACTGCAATATTGGTAAGTATAACAACCTACTGGTGGTCAGGAAATTTGGACTTTTCACCTGGGTGTGAAGCCGGTGTTTTTTGCCTCTGTGTTGTATTTTGCCTTTGCAGACATTTCTTGTAATAACTGAAGAGTCACACAGAACAAGTGTTTAATATATTCCTCCAATGTAAAACATAACACACTCTTCACCACCGAGACCCTGATTCTAAAAATATTTGTTCATGTCCTTAACTGTATGGAAAATTAAACACAGAAATTTTAATCCAATTACTCATGCCCATAAAATAAGCGCATGCTTCCATTTTGCAGGATCAGTCGCAGAGTTGTACTCTAGTGGAAATGCTTCCCCACAGATCCATGCATCCCCTCATAAAGTAGGGATTTATGCTCTGACAAAATCTAGCAGCTGACTGTATTTGGTAGCACTAGGTTATTATGGGAAGTAGACAATGATAAAATGCACACCCTTTGTTTGGGTTACCTTGTAATTTAAATTAATAGTACCTTTAGCCCAGTACAGCTCACCTAAAAATCCTTAGTTGCACTCATGGGCCAGGGCAGAGAAATCTGCTTTTTGGTGCCTACATGTTAGTTCTGTGTTGCTTCTTATTAGATGCAACATAGTTTTTGATATAATTTTCCTCCAGAAGGTTTAACATTTCTCACTACAGGGGTTAAATATGCTTGTAAAGATTACCTACATGCTAAATCCTCAAGTTATATCAGTGACTACTTTTCAAATACAGCAAGTTTTAGGCATACATAGTTATAGACCTTCAGTCATACCAGCCTATGATCCCACGAACTCACTGGCTATGTCCTGAGTACATAAATCCCAGCACTCATCAAAATTGAAGACAAGACTCCTGGTAGCTAAGGTGGGCACCTATTTGATCTGAATGTGTGGTGAGGTAAAAAAATATGGTAATGAACACTGGAATTGATATCTGGTATTCTTTTTTGTTATTCTGATGGTTAACAAATGGTGTAGCCATCATAGAATCATTATGGTTGGAAGAGACCTCAAAGATCATCAAGTCCAAACTTCTACCCAACGCCACCATGCCCACTAAACCCACTAAAACCATGTCTTGAGGCGCCACATCTAAATGTTTTTTGAACACCTCCAGGGATGGTGAGTCTACCACCTCCCTGGGGAGCATGTTCCAATGCCTACCAACTCGTTCTTCCTAATATCCAACCTGAACCTCCCCTGATGCAACTTGAGACCGTTTCCTCTTGTCCTATCGCTAGTTACCAGGGAGAAGAGACCAACCTCCACCTCGCTACAACCTCCTTTCAGGTAGTTGTAGAGGGAGATAAGGTCTCCCCTCAGCCTCCTTTTCTTCAGACTAAACAACCCCAGCTCCCTCAGCTGCTCTTCGTAAGACTTTTTCTCCAGGCCCTTCACCAGCTTTGTTGGTCTTCTCTGGACATGCTCCAGCACCTCAATGTCCTTCTTGTAGTGAGGGGCCCAAAACTGAACACAGTATTCAAGGTGCAGTCTCACCAGTGCTGAGTACAAAATTCAAGCGCTGAGTACATCTATTCAAGCTGGGAAAAAAAAAAATCAATTTGGGATACCAGAAGTACAGCTGGAATAACAAATAGCAGGAGTGAGTCGGCAAATTGAATGGCATATGAACTGCTCATGAACCTTCACTCACCAGGTACCTGATGAGTCATGTGAAACGGGCTTGTGACTCTTAAGTCCTTCGTAAGGAGCGATATCGTAGCTCTGTTTTTTTTGTCCTTTAGTTGCCCTAGGGAGGTTTGTCCCAGGCTTTGTGAACGCTACTGCATGGATGTGAGTGAGGGGCTGCGTGTGCATGGCACATGTGTGACCTGGTGTCCCGGGGAGGACGGCACGCTGCTCATCTTCACATGAAACTGCTTTTCAAATTCCCATTTCCTTATCTCCCTTAACCAAAGCAGCAATGCTGTGCATAGATATCTACCCAGCACGGCCTGCATTATAAATATCGAGATGACAGTGTTATAGTTGTAATACTGGTTTCTGTCGGACTGGCTTAGAACAAGAAATAAGCAGGTGCTCTTTGATTACTTGAAAATAATAAAGCAAGCATTTGGTTTGCTAATCAAATGGCTTTAGATGCTTCAATCCATCTGCGTTCGGCTGCCTGACACCCCCACACAAAACAGGAACTGAAGGATTGTGTTTATGTGTCAGGGCCCTGCAAACAAGTTTAAAAATGAAAAAAACTCTTTGCCAGGATTTAGTCATTCTAAATTACCGCAAATAAACTAGTGCTAGGGTCTATAGACCTGGTAGTATTATCACACGAGGGCGATGGCATTCTGGTGAAAGCACTGGGAGCTTGTGCTCTCAGAGCACATAGAACTGATTTTTAAATATATGTTGGATTAATTTTTTCTTCAACCCTTCAATTTGATGCTGTGAGCACAGCTGGCTTTTTTTCTTTTCCTTTTTACTGTCTTGTATAGTTTCCCTTATCTAACAGGACTCAATTGTGAGGTTACCCGTTAGTCCGAATAGCTTATGGTTATAACGCTTGCTTCAGAGAAAGTTACAGTGTCTCCAAAATGCACTTTATTCTAAATTATTCAACTACAGAGGCAACCTTAAGCCAAGCTGTGATGCAAAAATGTCTTTTTTTTTTTTTTTTTTTTTTAAAAAAAAAAGAAAACAATCAATTTAATAAACAATAAATACCCAACAATGTTCCTGGGCTGTGATGTATTTGCGGTCTCTCTGATGTCCTCTGCCCTTGACTCCTACAAAGAATAATCAGGCTTCATATGTTTCTAATGGAAAACCAGCTAATTTATCTTGATGTCACACTCACAAATATTAGTAAACAAAACGCCATCCTGGGTCAGATCACACGTCTAAGTATTACTGTGACTCGAGTACAGCAAAATAGAGGATGACTGAGGATTAATGTAAGTAGCAGGAAATTACTGAGAAATACTTCTCCTGGTTGGGGATTCTCTTAGCAGACAGCTGGACCATCATATTTGATAGACCTTTACCTGTTTTCCATGAATTTGTCTAAACTCTTTGGAACTCCTTTATGCTTTTCCCTTTCACAGTATGTCGTGTCAAGAAGTTCCAGAATTTAAATAGATGTGATGAGAAACATATTTTCTATTGTTAGCTTAAAGCCTACTGCCTGGTAATTTAATTTCCCCCCTTTGAACAGTGAGTAACAGAGAATAATCATAACTTTCGTGATTTTACAGATACTTATTTCTCTGCCCAATAATTTTTTCTTTTTTGGACTATGGGGTCCCTGTCAGTACTCAAAAATCATCTTTTCACTTATCTTAAAATTCTCTTGCAAACAATCATTATATGTATGTATATATATATTGCCAAGCCATTATCATAAGGGCCATGCAGCTACTGGCAAATTATGAGTCGACTTAAAAAAATGTGGGAGGTGATAAACGTAACATAGGTATATAAAAGACAGTTTCTAATACAGATTTCTATTCTTTGTGGTAATACATTATTTTCTAGCCCTTAAAGAAGAAACCTTCAGTACTAAAGAAATAACTGCCATTTAAAAAAAATGTTCTAACACAGTTTCTATGTGTAAGATTTCAGTGAAGTTTAATTTCAAAGGAAATTAGATAAATCACCAACAAATTACTCCCCAAACAGATGCTGTTCAAAATTGTTCAAGGATCCATTCTAAATTAAGTTTAATTCATAATAACTGCCCTTAAATATGCACTTATTTTCAGAAATAAGGATTTTGTATTAAAAAAAACCTGGATTCGCTTTGGAGACAGAGTTCTTGCTGAGAGACCTCTGAATCTAGGCTCTAGGTGAAGATTCAGAACCAATTATCCAACCATGAGTAACAATAGTTGTCTCGTTGTACAGAGAAAGTTACAAAAAGGGCCGAGGCTCAGCCACTTTGGCAGTGATAAATATGAGGAAGAAGTGAAATGCGAGAAGGATGTGAGTGTGGTATTTTATCTCTGGCCCAAGTTGGTATCGGGAGTGGAGAGGGAATTTTCTGGGAGAAGTTTAACTTTAGAAATATTTAGCTTTATTAGAGGTGATAACTTATGAAAAACAGTTATAAACATGTAATTGTGAAATTACTTTGACATTTTATGTTTCTTTGAACAGACAGGAGCCATGGTAGAGATGTTAGGTGAATATAGAGGGACACACAGCTAAAGAAAGGGGAGGAGCTATTTGACCAGAGGACAGATAATTCATTATAATAAGCATTTATGCAGATGTTAAAGGGAGTTGGAGGGTACAGGAAAGAGATGTAGAATTTTTTTTAAGGGATTAGTGCCTTTCAGTTTCTGCGGTTGAAAACCCACCATTGCATTCACACTATTGGTCTTTGTTGATATGCAAGTGGAAACAAATATATATTTTGCCCCATTTCCTGAGTAAAAACACTTCCTTCTCCTTACCATTGCTTTGGTACTGGTTGTCAGTAAATTTGGCGGTCTCATTTGTATTTTGGGCTTAATCTTGATTTATTGGAGGGTATGTTAGTGGGGTGACTTTATTCTGTTTAATGAGTTGCCAAGCCTTTTCCTGAAACATTTAGTCTCTGTAGGTTGCTTTGTTGTGTTACTGTTGATCAGAGGAATAGCTGGTAGTCATATATGGATAACTGGGGTGGGGTTTAACACTACGTATGTCAATGGTTTGTCAGCATTTAACTGGATTTTTAGGGTCTAGAATTACCTTAACCATTGGGTGGTTTATTTCTCGCCAATTTGCTGTATTAGGACTCTGCAACAGTTCAGGGTGTGTTCTTCTGGAACTATTTGTGAAAATAAGGTAGCCCTGTAATAAAGTAAATCAGTGGGATGGATAAGTTGTGGCAGATTTTGGTGCTTTTCATAATCAAACTAATGAAGAGGTAGAAAGTGACACATAGAAAGCCTGTTTGGATTTGTCACCATGGTTGTGGGTTACAGTAGATAGCAGACCACAAGAAGGAGTTCTTCAAATGCATCAGCAGCAAAAGGAAGACTAAGGAAAACGT